AAATAATATAATTTTATTTATATTATATAATTTATTTAAATTTATTCTTATTAATATCCTTTAATTTCGTATTACTTATTTTTAAAATAACAACCGATTATTTTCCATATTACGTTATATGAAACGTTGGAATTTTATATGGGGGAATTTGATATACCTTCGTAATGGGATATGACGATAAAGAAAGAGAGAGAGAGACAGAGATAATAGAAAGAAATAGGAATAAGGGATCATCTCTACTTGCGTCATCTTTCCATAAGATAAAATATTTCGAATATTTAATAATACATATATATATATATATATAAATACTTTTGAATCATTTTAAATAATTTTGATCGATTGTTACTAATTATTATTATTATTATTATTATTATTATTATTATTAAAATCATAACTCACCCACGATCCGATAAATAGAACAGAAGACTATTGTCATCACGACGAACCATGTGTTCCAATTATGTTTATTGTTCACCGTTGCCACACCAAGGAACATAAATATGATCGTTTCCGAACTACTCGATAACATTTTCATTGTATATTTAACGGTGGTATGTGATTTGTGCGATATATTAGCTTCGACATAATTTTTCATGGTAATACCACAAAATGTTATTCTGTAATAAATTGTTGTTTCTTGATCATGATTTAAACAAAAAAAAAAAAACATTCAATTAGATATACATATGTACGTAGAATAGTTATATTTATACAGATATACATATATATGAGTTTGATTACATCACTTTGTATCGGATATTTTTATATATTTTTAAATAGAAAGAATTGTACTTTTAAAAATAGTTTGTTTCACTAAGAAAAAGAAAACAGGAAACTAATAAATCTATCAATTACCACGATTCAAGAAATTTGTTGTTCGTAATTATATCTTGAACTTTTAAAGCACCTTTTAACATTATATATTTTAACATTAAACAATATAAATGGGAAAGTTATTATCAACTTATGACATTATTAGAAATATATATCGATTAATTTTTGAAACAGCAGCTGCTTGACAGGATGAACGAGTTATCATTGAAATGTTAAATGTATATTTTTACTCACGCCAATATTCCTGACATGTGAAAGATTTCAGCATTTAGGTATGCCAAATAAGCCATGACGAATATAAAAATTGGTTCGATCACACGAACCTGATTCGTAAATCTTGTTACGAATCCTGTTGCAAATCCCCATATGACACCTATTATCGTACCACCTATTGCTACGACTAGAAATGATGCTAAACCTGAGAGTATGTCAGTATATTCAATTCTTGAAGGTCCCATCTCACTGTAAGTCTCGAACATGTGATATAATACCTAAAACATATAAACAAAAATGTTCTTTTTTATTTTGGTTACTGGAATATGAAATAAATTCAAGCGATAAGGGTTTTAGTTAGATTTTACAAAATATTAATTTAATTTTAATTTTATTAATATTATTAAATATTTTTAATAACTAATAAAATATTATAAGCCTTCTTTTTTTTTTTTTTTGACTTTTACCGCATTTCTGTTTTTATTTTAGATTTTTTTTTAAATATAAATATTTAACATGCACACTTTCATGAGTACTTCCAAAAATATTTGCTTATTGCTTGGTTATATTAAAATTGGACAAAATATTATAATCATAAAAATATTGAAAATAATAAATTAATATTAATATAATAAAAAAATAATTATATACTTACAACTGTGACAGCATCGTTTAAAAGACTTTCACCGAATACAACGATGTATAATATCTCGTTGACGTGTATTTCTTCAAAAACTGCTAATACAGCAACAGGATCAACTGCACTGATCAATGCCGAAAAAAGGAACATGTCTAATAATGGTGTCTCACAACCGAAAACATTGAATTTTCCCAGAACCCATAAGGATGCACCTATTACCAAAAAGAAAAACCAAATATTTATATAAAAACGAACTCGAGATGAAGCAACGATGAAGCAACAACGATTTGATGATTCACGAGATTGATGGTATGCATATATATATATGTATATATATATATAAATAATATATAGAATCATTATCAATAAATAAACTACGATGCGACATATATCCGTAGTTGTATTCTAGGAAGTTGTTTTAGTATTATACCATCATCGTTCCTTAATTGGAGTTCCCCGTTAATCAGCTTAATCGTTTCTTCGGATGCTTCAATATCGAACTCGTGCCAGAATTGTTAGGAAAGTATTATAACGCTTACGGATGTGTTTATTAGGGTTGAAACAATAAATTCGTGCTTTTTAAAATTAACATTTTACCAAAAATAAAAAACAATCCATTGTGCAGTTTCAAAGTAAAGTTTCAACAATTTTTGGTTCACCTTAATATCTCGAATATTTCCTTTACGTAATATTTTTTTGTTACAAGTGACATTACAGTTAAGAAAAATAAAGGAACAAATGTAAAAAAATGAAAAAAAAGCTCAGTCTTCGCATATCTCGAGAGGCTGTTGTTTGTCTTTTGGCGCGTTACGGGTAAAAGTGCGCACGCGTGCGAATGAATTCTATTTTTACACGTGTTTTTTTTTTCACGATCCTCTCTCTCTCTATATATATATCTTTAAATATTATGATAAAGTGAGAGTTATTACGCGAACACATGCTTATTTAACAATTTTTTAATACATTCTCTTACTCCGGGGTTTTGTTTATTAAGAGAACAAACAAGAAAATAAATCAAATTGATACCAACCTATTGACAGGGTATTGAAAATTGTTCCAACTACTGCAAATAGTAGAATAGTTCCAAGATGATCGAAGAATAATCGATTGGGCATAAAATAACCGGCATCTAGGATGATAGGTGGTAACATGTAGAGAAAAAAGGTATCAGGTGTTAGGGGTGATACGTGAACGCTGCTGGCCTGGAAAAGAAGTAGTCCAACGACGACACCAACGACGATCAACAAACATGATTCCGGAAATATTTTACTCAGTCTCGGTGCCATGTGAAAACCTGAATAGAAAAATCAAAGAGAAAGAGAGAGAGAGAGAAAGAGACATAAAAAATATATATATATATATATATATATGTTTACGTTCCAAATGCAATATCAACGGTATCTTTCTATATTCATACTGGCATTAAGTATTCTTGGCTATTATTTAATGCCACCCCACGGTTGGTTGGTCCAGCGATCACTGAACTCATCTTCATCGTGTTAGCAAACAAAACAAAAGTGTTCTTTTAAGTGGTCATTCAAATCAAATCGTGTGTCGCGGTTTTACATTTGTTTGATATAAATTTGAATTAAATAATAGTATATATAGTATACGCATATATGTATCATCTTTTGGCACACATACAACTTGAATTGATCATCTTTTGTTCATAGAGTTAGTTTAGTTAGAGTTAAGTTAGTTGTAAGATATGTGTGCACTAAAAATATATTCTGACGAAGATGCGCGTTAAGAAAAAATAGAACACGGTCAAGCCCATGGACTTTTATATATACATATATACCGTTTTAGAAAGATACCCTTAATGATTGATTTATGTATTTATTATTAACTATTGTTTTTTCTTACCAATTTTTGCAATACTAGCGAAAAATATCCAAATGCCGATAACGAATGGCGTTTCCACTCTAGGAAATTCGACAGACATGATGTGATATTCTACTTCAGTCTTTGGTTTATCGATTTCTTGATCATTCGAAGATGGTGATGATGAGGAATAATCATGGGTGGCCGTATTGGATACCGGAAGACTTCTTGCCGAGACATCATCCGATAAGGAATCGTAGAGTGGTCCCATTGGGCCAAAACTACTTCCAGGATAAGGTTCGTGAAGGTTTCTAGGGAGTTCTTCATCGTCAACTGCTGGTCCATGCATGGCATATCGATCGATCGATATTCTACTCCTTTGATCTTGACTGACATCTCGCTTGATTAGATTTATCAGACCGGCATGAGTTTCCTCAGGATAATTAAGCAATAAGAGTAGTGTTAAGAGAAGGCAAGCAAACGATAGGCTTCTTGACGAATCCATGAGGTCCTTTGATGGGAATCACTTCTTCAACGTTGTCTATGTTGATCTTGTTGTTGTTGTTGTTGTTGTTGTGGTGGTGGTGGACAATTATTGTCCTTGTATTTTCGATCACTTGGTAGTTCTACCATCAGAAACAAACGACTAGCTTAAAGTTCTGTTTATCTTCTTTTTAAATCCTTTAATTGTTTCTCTTTATTTATTAAAAAATGAAAGATGACGTAAATTCGAAGAAAAGGAACGTATTTAGGAACTTCATTGTTCTCGTTATTAAATCCTCTTTCAAATTTGTTATCCGTACGAGACTGTAATAGGATCGATATAGTTAAGTTACAATTCACAAAATTTGTTTGTTCTCACATATTAAAAACATCAAACGAAATATCTTACCCCCGTTTGAATATATATATATATCAATATATATTCCTTCTTTTCCTCGGTAACTATACAACAGTGCAAAAGGGTTCTTGAAATAACTGAGATTAACTGAATAAAAAATAAATAAAAAAATAATAAAGAAACACTCGACACTTTTGATCAACACGTACGATCGGAACTAACACAACAAATATATTATATTAACTTGTGAAAAAATATATAAATAAATGAATAAAACAAACAAACAAACAGCAAACTTAGAAAGAAAGAAAGAAAGCTAGAAAATGATATATATATATCTATATCTATATATATATATATATGTATATAGCAATCGATACACCAGATAAATCCCGTGTATATGAGTGTAAGATAAAATTAACCGAGTAAAATGGGATTCGTCGAATAAATAATCTCTCTTCTCTTGTTAGATGAAAAATCTTCAATGGTTCACGCCGGTCCAGGTCGATAGACAATTTTCTTGGATGTTGGGTGTCGTGTTGAGATGGCCGACGACGACGACGACGACGACGACCACGACGACGACCACGACGTCAACGATGACGACGACAACAACAACGACGACGACGACGACGACGACGACGATGATGACGATGACNGACGTCAACGATGACGACGACAACAACAACGACGACGACGACGACGACGACGACGATGATGACGATGACGAAGATGATGAGAATGTGAAATAGGATAAGGACGGTAAATATCGACGATGACGACGAGGTCTACGTTGTGGCATCGTGTACCGAAGTGAGCAGCAGGGGCTCGTTGAAGAATACGACACCCACCTTTGTGTGGCGTGTTTCGATCGACCGTCAACGGCAGCACTGCACGATCAACTATCCACTTCGATGAAATCTTCAACAAAAACTGTCCTATCCTATCCTATCCTGACTTGTCATCTATCTGTTTTTATCTTTAAAACGTCAAATATCATTGATTTCTGAGAATATGAATATTTTTAGGATGATATATTATTAACAAAAACTCCCTCCCCCCTTTTTTGTTTTATTAATTGTCGAAATTGTATCGAACGTGTGGGGGGTTAGTGAGGGATGAGGGGTTAAGAAAAAAACAACACACGTTAAAAAACTTGTAGAGTATGCCAAAAACGTGTGCCTAGTTGCCGACTAGTTCGCCCTCAGCTTCTTTACTGATGTGTTTTAAACGGGTATACGCGCGTGCTCTCTTATTCACTCTCTTTCTCTCTTTCACTCTAACCCCTATGCATATATACAGTAGTTCTATCTTCGTCTATTCGTGTAACTCTCTCTTCTTCTATCTTTCTTTAGCTTTCCCTCGCCAGCTAGAAGCTTCCAGCCAGCTGATCGTTGCTGAAACTCGCGCAAGCGTCCCGACGCTTCTACTCTTACGAAGACTTATACAGGGTGAAACATTTATTTCATAACCGATACGATATTATATTACATGTATTTTTAGTTTTTATTTTATTTGTATTTATTTAGCGATAATTAAACATGAGGTTTATTATTTTAAGAATATTTATTATATATTTATTATTATAAATATATATATAAATATAATATTTTAATTATATATTTAATTATATTTATATATAATATTTTTTAATTATTTTATAATAATTAAATCGAAGTATTTATTATAGTTCAACGTATGTATATATAGAATATGTGTAAACCGGGTTGCAAAATAGTTCGTGTAATTTTATTTCTTCGATCGAGTTCATATCTTTTTTAATAGTTACCTACTTTCTAACTTTAAATTGTATTATCTTTGTTTTATTTTTATTTATTTTAGAGAAAGATATGTGATAATTAAGTAAAGGTAAAGGTATAATTAAAGGTATGAAAAATTCGCTAGCTTTTTCTTTTTTTGGTTTTTTTCTTTTTTTTTTTTTTTGGTTTAATTTTTAACATAGTTTATACATATGTATTTTATGAGAAGTATGATATGTGATATATCAAGGGTCACGGAGTTTGGCCGAGAGCGACCTTAAAGCCAGCAACGTCACGTCGCCGGATCTTGGAGACACCTTTTACCCTTGACCTTGTCGTCGATGCGCCAGCAAAATGCTCGACTGCCCTTATAACCGTTTTACCAAACCGTAAGATTCGCTTCGAGGAATCTTCACAACTTCAATTTTTCATTTTTCGTCGTCGTTGTTTTAGTTCTCATTCAAAAGCTCATATTTATAGCATAACTTTTTTTTATAAACCGATCATTTAATCTCATCGTTCTATTTTTATTTTCCTTTCTATTTTTTCTTCTTCTGCCTTGTTCGAAACAATCGAAAATATAACACGTTCTGTGTTTGAATTTTTATGGGGATCACCGTCCCTCACCCCCCCCCCCAACTCCCCTGTCATTTATTCGAAGTATCCATTTTCTCACCCGCTCGTTCGTGGATTCGATTTACGCCAATGAAAATTGTTTCAAATAGATTTTGTCGATAGAAATGAAATGCAAAATTTTTGAAAGTATTGTTTTTAAATTGATACACCCTTTTTTATGGTGACACATCCTATACAATTTGTAATTCTATCTTTTACTTAATTGTCATTTATCATTTTTTTATTTATTCACCTGATATATTATTACACCTCATCTCATATACTATTTCATTTGAACTTTTATCTATTTGTCATTTGTGATTTTGGTTTATTAACACATATTACACAATTGTACATATTCATCATTTACATCTATATTTATATATTAATGTTAACAAGAATATTGCTTGCATTTCTTTAACAAACAAACCAAATATTTATTTGTTAAACTTTAATAAACAAAATTCAGATCGTTAATATAGATGTCAAAGTATAACAAATACTGTTATCATTGAAATCTCAGATAAATGAAGGTAAGGGTGTATAAATTTAATGCAAATCTTTAATTATATCGACGTTTGTCTTTTTATAAACAAAATCAAATATTTATTTGTTGAACTTTAATAAACAAAATCCAGATCGTGTACATTGACATCAAAGTTAACAAATATTGTATAGTGTTATCATTTAAATCTCAGATAAATGAAGGTAAGGGTGTATAAATTTAATGCAAATCTTTAATTATATCGAAGTTTGTTCTCTCTCTCTCTCTCTCTCTCTCTCTCTCTTTCTCTCTCTCTCTTTCTTCGAAACTATTGCAGTAAGTAGTAGCATAACTTTTGCACGGTTACTCTCTCATGAAATTAGTTATACTAGAAGGACGGTTCGTTGAACGTGTCCTCGTTTTAGGAAAAGCTCAAGTCGTAAACACCGGAGAAATAGAGAAAGAGGGATGTAAGGTGGGGAGAGGGTTGGCAAGAGAAAAGGGATAGAGAATTTGGGAAATAGTAGTGGTGGTGGTGGTGGTGATGGTGGTGGTGGTAAAGGTTTTGTCCGATACGCACAAGTTGCCATTAATTTTCGTGACGGACGTGTACAAGCTAATGGCACTTTAATGACCAAGAATTCTATCTAGAACGATTCTCATTGGACGTTGATATCATGACGCACCACCAAATGCAAAATCCTCTTCCTTAAACTTTCCTTACCCTTTTAAGGGTAATTCCCTTTACCTCTATTTTCGAATACCTTATCTTTGAGATTAATCGTGTATCTTGACAAAGATTTAACATCTTTTAATATCATCTTTTCTATTAATGATAAATATATATATATATATATATATAATATATAATATTATAATATATATAATAATATATTAAATATATTAAATATAATATAGTGTTGAATATCAAAGAGTAAACACAGATAAGTAAGCAGGCAACAAAAGACTATCGACACAAAGAAAGACGGTGTTTGGACTGCTTTTTGCAAGTGAAGAAGTTATGTGTGTAAGGCGGTGTGAGCTACAAGGTTCTCGAGCGATATCAGTGATTTGTTTATTGGACCGAGCTGGACGTTGGGAAAATTCCAGAACGATTTGCAAATTTTTTGTCCCTCGGGGATGCAGGGTGGGGGAGAAACCTCATAAGGAGAGGACTAGTGCGACTATAGCGAGCGATTCGATACGAACGTGATTAGCGAGTGAATAGTGAAAGAATAGCGAGTGAGTAGTGACTGTGTGAGGTCTGAGTGAGTGTGAGAAGTTGCGAAGCGTAATTAAAGAAATAAGTAATAATAAGTAAATAAAGAATATCTTTTACATCTTAAGTAGTGTCGGCAACACGGGGATATTAGATATCCTTAGCCGGATGCAGAACGATTAATTTCCCTACATATATATATATATATACGATTTAACTTAAATTAGTGATTTAAATATTAAATACCTATTATACTTCGAATATTAATTAATTTTGATTTAATTGTATTTCTTTCATTCATTTAACAAACATTTCATTAACACATTCCATTCGATCATTTAACAATTATTTGAGTAATCTAATACATTCTCTACTTATATTAAAGATTTTTTAAATGCAACAACACTCGTTTATCTTGTAAATGTTCTATAAGTCCATTTAAATATTTTTTTATTCTTTTTAGTTGACAATATCTATTTTTTTTAGTTGACAATACATAACAATGTAACGTACAATACATATATTTAATATATTAATAATAATTAAATAGTAATTTAAATAATATATTAAATATAATAATAATTAATATATTTAACATATTAATAATATAATTACATATATATTTAATAAACTATAGATATAGTTTATTTGCAATTTCATGGTAAATACTATTTATTTTTATTTTTATTTTTTTTTTATTTTTTATCTTGTAGGGTAATAGGTAAAAGAATGTTTTACAAATTTTCAACAACGAAAGTAGAATAAAAATAAAGAAGAATATTCACGCGGGGGTGGTATTATTTTTCTAGTGCTTGTAAACAAGTAGTAAAAACGTTTAGATAACGAGACTTTCATGGAAATTTTCTTGGCCTTTCTTAAGAGTTTATCTTTAACGCATAAAAAAAAAAGAAAAAGAGAGAAATAGAAAGACAGAGAGAGAGAGAGAGAGAGAGAGAGAGAGAGAGAGTAACTTATAACGTAAATACTAATTTTTTTTTTCACTTTTTGTTTCTACCAAGAAATTCGTGTTACGATCGTATTCTTTATATCTATCTCTATTCCTTTTAGAAGTGTATTAAAACCATCCAAGGGGTTTAAAGGTTCGAAGGATTTACGCGAACAAAGTGGGTTGAAGTGCCGTCAAACGTTTTACTTTCCTTCTTATACTATAAGGTAAGATTGGTATCCTTTTCTAAAGGATAAAAAGAGTTTTTTTTTCTTATGGATAGTCTCTTTCATTTATCCTCATTTATAAAAGTATATGCTTTTAAAAGTTTTTATTAAAAAGAAAAAAAAAATATTAATGTACATAAGAAAATAAATATAATTCAGTTGAAACTTTTGATACAGGTACAATAATATTCCAATAGATTTGAATTTAAAATTAGTTTTATGGTATTAATACGACACGATGAATGAGAAATTAAACTAATTTGGGATTAGAAAATTGTTGAAATAAAATTCTTTACAATGTTATCCTCATTTATTACTAAAATATTTCAAATCAAATATTATTATAATATAACATATAATATTATATTA